ACCCAAACCAGTTAGGGTAAACAATGTTATCCCTAACAACATAATCCCCAATTATAACTTCAAAAAAGGCAACTATGATCTCATAGATAGTGATCTTTCATCCCTTGATTGGCAATTTCTATTCACTGGATGCAATACTGTTGAAGACCATTACAACATATTTTTACTTGAAGTAAAAAGAGTCATCAAACTATATGTACCAATAACAACTCCCAAAACCAGAGTAAAACAGATTACCCATAACAATAAGGAAGCTTCAATCCAAAAAGGTCACTTTGGCGAAAAAACAAATCTGGTCACGTTGCCAACTTCAAAAGCTGATATAAAAATTTATGCCACCAGATAAAGACCGAATGCATCAATTATCACATTAAACAAGAGGAAAATGGCTGGAGTATTTTCCTGCCAGCAAAGAGGTGGTGGTTGGAGGCTTCTTGGCAGGGGGACGGGGACACAGCAAGACTTGGAAGGCAGTGCCTGTCCCTTATTGGTCCCTCCCTCTGCATCAAAGTACCTTAAAGGGACAGGCTAGGGTGGCTGCTTTCCGAGCAGCAGCACAGCAAAGTGAAGGGAGAAAGAAAAGTTCATCCAAATCTTCTCCTTCTTGGGCATATACAGAGCAATCATCTCATGGTGCCACAGGAAATCGCCCGTGCACCGTCTCCTCACAGAAGGTCCTGGCCTCACGTGTGCACATGTGTGGTCCTGGAACCTTTTGCTAAAAGATGGTGCATGGGCTTGGAACTGGCTCGGTTCCAGCTGGGAAAGCAGGAGCAGCTGGGACTCACCACCCTGTTCTTCGCACTGGGGTGCACCTCATTGCCTGCTGTGCCAGAGTGGAGGTACGGGCTGGTGGAGAGCCCAGCAGCTCTCAGCCCTGGCTTGCCTTCCCTGGCAGACAAGGGTGATGCGGGCCCGGGCGGCATAGTATCATGCTCCCTGGTTGCCACCCCCACCCCTGCTCCTAGCAAGCAAGGCCCAGCAGTTGCAGAGAATCCAGGTGGGACCCAAGAGGTGATGGGTCAGCCCTGGCTTGCCTTTCTCTCGGCCACCAGCAAGGCAGGCAAGTAGGGGAAGGTGGGAAGCTTGCTAGGCCATGAGTGCCGCATGGAGCCGCAGTGCTGGTGGCTAAGCAAGGCAGGCAAGTGGGGTGGGGAGAAGCGAGTGCTGAGGGCAGCAGCAGCATGGTGGCAGTAGCCTAGGCTGGCCTGGAAGTCAGGACTCAACTGGGATTGGTGGCAGCAGCGACATGTGGCGGCGTTGGCAGCAAGGGCGAGGGCAGTGGTGACATGGTGGTAATGGCCTACGCTAGCCAAGGAGTCAGGACTCAACTGGGGCTCGCGGCAGCAGCAGCATGTAGGCGACCGAGGCTTGCAGAGCCTCACTCACCTAGGGAGATTAAATGGTGGAAGATTGGCTGGCTGGTGGGCTGGCTGGCTGGCTGGCTGCTGCTGCTGGAAGTGATGGTGGCAGGTGGGAAAATGTGGGAAGCGATGGCCCAGCAGCTGCACATGCACTATAAGGAGTGACTGGGTTGGGCGGGTAGGGGGAGAATGGCATCAGTGATTGTCGCGCATGCATGCAATGTTGCACATGCACAATAAGGACTGACTGGGCAGGGAACAGAGGAGCGGGTGGAGAGGGTCAGGGTCAGTCAGGGGCCTGTTTTACCGGTTCTCCGAACTACCGGAAATCGTAACAACCGGTTCTACTGAACCGGTGAAAACCGGTAAAATCCCACCCCTGAATTTATCTCCCTCCCTCTTTCAATCTTTCTTTTGTGCTTTCCTTTTGTGCTTTTTCCCTTTCCTTTTTTTATTTTCCAAACCATTTTCCTTTTTGTTATCATATCAAACCACAAATTTTTAATTTTGATTCCTTTCCCCCCCTGCTTAAATGATTGTTGCTCCCTTTGATCTTCAAAGCTGGCTTCTTCTTTGTTTAACTCCTCCTACTCTGGTTTTCTTTGTTCTTCTGAAATCTGAGTCGCCATTTCTAATTTCTGTAATGCATTATTGCACATTTCAACTTTAATTTTCCTCATTTCCTTTATATATTGCAAGTCCAATCTTATTTCAGCAAATAATTCCTCAATTATGTCTGTTCCTTTTTTCTTTCCTTTCCTCTTCCTTAAGAAATGTATTCAATCCAAAAGTCCAGTGTATTATTTCAGCTAGTGTCTTTTAAGTTTATTTTCAACAATCAATGTTCTTAAATCTTTGTTTCCAGGTCTTCTAGTTGGTCCTTTCCCAGCTATTTCCCACAGTCACTGGGTGGTTATAACGACATGTTCAAATATCTTCTCCCTTGTAATATTCTAATGTCACTTTCCCGGGTTTTTATTTTATTATAATGGAGTTTCTTTTATTTTCTTTTAAATTCCAAAGTCCAATTTCTTGGAAAGACCAAACACTTTTCAAAAAGTCCCTGAAATTTTTCCTATACCATCAGGTGGTGCTCTTGATTCTTTCCCAAAATCCATTCTTTCTTTTATTTTTGCTTTCTTTTTTAAATATAATACTTTTATTAAGTTGGCTAATTTCAATTATTAGCTATGATTTCTTTTCTTTTAAACACATTCAATTCCAGCATTTAATTATACCTTTTAAGTTCCAAAAATCCAATAGTTATCCAGTTTAATTTCCAAGCCCTTTTTGTGTTCAAGTATTTTCCTTTCAAGCCAATTTTATAAGATCCAATTTCCTTCTCACTTTCTCACTTTTCTTCCACACACTTTCCTCCAAAATAGTCCTTTATTTTTTTAATACCGGGCTACCTTAATGTCCATGCATTTTGCCTGGTTCACACTCTACTTGCTTCTTCTCCGCTCCAGCACAGTCTTAGTTTTCTGGACTGGTCTTCGTCTTCGTGGTGGCCATTTTAGACCACTGCTACAGCTTGCCTTTGGAAGGCTCCCCTCAACCCTCCAGGCAGTTCCCCCTTTTTTCACCACCCCTCCAGGGTGGTTCTGGTCTTGATCGGGACCCTCCAGCAAGTTAGCTTGGGGTGAAATCGCATACGATTGCAGATTCCGCTCTGACTCGATGATGAGCAAAACAGAGGTCCAAACTAACCATGTTCTGAGTGCTTTCCTTTCACCAAGAACACCAGTTCTCATGTGCTTGATGCCTCCTGTGCGTGTACCCAGGGGAAGTGCCTGGCCAGGGTGCAGTAGGCTGGGGTTGATGGATCCTGCCCCTCACTATCTCCAGGGCATCCCTGCAAGCCAGATCTAACCATATTGCAGGCTGGATCTGGCCCACAGACATTTAGTTTGACATGTCTGTTTTAAATCTATATGGTGAGTCCAGGGTATCTGAGGAGCTGTTTTGCCCCATTGGTATTAGCAGGAGTGGGATTCAAATTTCTCAACAACCAGTTCTGTGAGCATGGACTAATTTGTGGGTGTGGCTTGGTGGTCAGGTGACTGGGTGGTGTTGCTTGCATGTAAATATTCTTAATATTTATATAAATATTGAATTTTTTATTAAAAAGGAGCAACTATTACCCAAAATCAGGCAAAGCAGACAGGCAGATTGAATTGCTTGCAGAATCACAGATTCACTCACAGATCTACCTTTCTGCAATCTGCTGCTTGTGTCACATAAAATTTGCTAGCAAGCAAACTCACAAAATTAATTCAAAACACACCATATATGTAAATATTGATTTTTTTAAAAAAAGAGCAACTTTTACCCAAAATCAGGCAGAGCAGGCAGGCAGATTGAATTGCTTGCAGAATCACAGATTTACTCACAGATCTACCTTTCTGCAATCTGCTTCCTGAATCTGCACTGAAAAATAGAAGCTTCAGTCCTAAGGAAGGTTCAGCTCTGCTCTCAGGCCACTTCCCCCGTCAACTCCCTAAATACCACCCGTGACTGGGCCTCAGGGAAGCCTCCTGAGCAAAGATGAAACAGTATAACAGTGATTTCGATTAGCTAGAAAGCAAGAAATCCTATGATTTCCTGCTTTCTAGTTAATCTAAATCACATAGTACAGCTGATAGTCAGAAGAGATGATTGTCCGGGGGGCAGGGGGAAATAGCAACTTACCAAAATTTAGGCAAAGGCACAACTTAGGCAAGTTGGATGGCACACATGCGAGGTAAGGAATGACTGGGCGGGAAGGGGAGGGATAGGTGGTGGTGGGGCAGCCAGTGGAGCAATTTGCCAGTTCTCCAAACTGCGCAGAAACATAACAACCGTTTCTATAGAACTGGTCCGAAGAGGTAGAATCCCATCCCTGGTGTTAGCCCTCTCCACTCACACCGGTGGAAGAGGTGTGCTACAGATCCCATCTGCCAAGGAATTCTGGCATGTGGGACCACGGAGAAGAGTCTTTTCTGCTATACCCTGACCTTGTGGAATACTCTGCCACTGTAGGTGAGAACTGCCCCATCATTTTGGCCTTGGTTTTGCTGGTTGGTTTGGAGCCCTGGGGCACTTACAACTGTAGATGGTTGATGAGATAAGAAAACCTCATACCTGTACTGTTGGTATCTTGGTTCCTGTTTGTTTACATAGTTTTAAAAAATTTAAGCCCCCCAGTGTCATCGAGGATATGGGTGGCATATAATTTTAATAAATAAAAAGAATCAATTTTCTGGCTGGCTGAAAATATAAATAGGAACTTCTTCGTTAGAAACATACAAATCCTCATATCCATTACCTTTACCACCAGTTACTCTGTCAAGGTCAATATTATACCCATATCGTAAAGGGGGAATTGACTTTAGGAACAAAGAGCTTGTCAAGATTTAAAATGAGTTTGATAGCTTTCAAGTGTGGTGGATTACAAGTCTACTCTTCTCTGGAGATCATGAGTAGTAATACTTCTAAAAGGAGGCATATCAACAGGACTGTCATGATTATTATTTTGTAGCCACTTGGCTGCACTAACTGTAGATACTGCTCAGCAAGGTTTAGAAAAACTGAAGGTCTTATTTGGACTAAAGTCTGTTTTTGATAATTTTTTAAAAAGGTTTGAATATTCAGTACCTGCATTTCCTTTCTCACCCTTTTCTCCCTTTTTGCCTTCTCGGCCATCTCGGCCTGGGATCCCAATCCGGCCATGTGGTCCAGGTGAGCCATGGTTTCCAGGAGGGCCTGGGGGGCCAGGTAACCCAGGTATACTACAAACGTATTTTGTGGAGTAGTTTTCTCCTTTAAACTGACTTTGGAGAGGTTGGCCATTGATATAGAAGGCAAAACCTGTTATACAGAGCAGCACAAACATCTCTGGCACTGGAAAAAAGAAGAATGCTAATGTGAGAAAAGTAAAACCCATCTTATTTAAATTAAGTGTTAAGATTAATATACAACATAATATTTCAGGAGCCTCCCACTAGACATGGTAAAAAGTTAATATGGAAACTATGAGAGTATAATCAAAGCTCCGATTGTTTTATAAATGTACCACATGTTGCAATAGGCATAACAAGAACAGAGCTTAATCAAACTCTCATGGCTGGTATCTTGGTTTTTTTATTTTATTTTTACTGCTCTGTGGCCACCCATAATCACTTGTCAAAAGTACAGTTTTTCATCTATATCTTAAATGTTGACATTACAATATATTCAAGATGTTTGTTTTTGTTTGTAAAAGAAAGTATGATTGAATGGAGTAAATTAATCTCCAAATAATTTATTTTTTCTTACTAAATAAGATTTCGCTGACACATCTTTCCCACAATTTCTACATAGCAAAGAAAATAATTCTCAAGCAATATACAGTATGTGTAGGGTAATATAACTGTATAAAATATTTTTAAAAACTAATTATATACACTTGTATGAAATTTGCCTAAAATACAATTTTAGCTATCAACTTGGGCAACATTTTTATAGTAGTCTAAATGTTTTTTTTAAAGTACTTTTCACATAAATTATTTCTAAACTTACATTAAAAATCCATTCTTGAAACTGTTACACCCATCCACAATTTGTAGAAAAAAAGTAGCTGATGGCAGTCATTACTGTTAGTTGTAATATTCTATAGATCCCATACGGAAATGATATGTAAAGAGCAATCTCTCTCTCTCTCTCTGTCTGTCTGTCTATCTATCTATCTATCTATCTATCTATCTATCTATCTATCTATCTATATACATAAAAAATATATTCAGGGCTGTAAATATTTAATACTTCACCAAATGATGTTAAACCTGAGTATTTCTCAACAATGTAATTTTGAAAGTAAATCTCAGGATGTAATACATTGGTGTAATTTAGAATTGTGAACCCAAAGTTATTAATTCCTAGGCTGAGTTAGGAACCTATTTTCCCCTGTCATACATCTTATAGTTTCCAGTTTAATGCCTTTTAATTGGTTCCCATACCCTTAGATATTTTTGTTTAATTTTTATTGCTGTAAATACTTAAAATTATGTAGGATTAGAACTTCATCTCTGGGGTCTTCTGAGATCTCATGTGAAAATCTTTTGGGTTTCATGGCTATCACTTACGGATGTTAAAAGCACAGAGCTGGTGTGATGACTTTTGTGTGAATTATGCAAAGTGATAATGGTGCAGAGATCCCCTGGTGAATACTTAGGAGACTGACAAACATGAAAGTTAAAAAGATCAGAAACCAAAAATGTTTGATCTATAAGCAAGGTATCTGCAGCATTGAAATTGGTCTTACTATACACTTAATGTTGTGTTTTATAAAGTTGTTCCATGAATCCAATTCAGTGAGACCTAATTTATGTGGAAAATGAATGAAATGCAACTGTCAGCAACCAAAGACTAGTTATTCCCTTCTTAGTTTTATTGTACAGGTAGTCCTTATTCAGCTACTAAAACTGGGATTGGCAACCTGATCATTAATTGCAGTGGTTACTAAGTGAAACTACAGTTATGCTGATGATCTTATTTCATCTTTTCTTTGCTTTACGGACCTACAAAGGTTGTAAATATGATATTGGTCATAAAGATACTTCTTCATCTTATAGTAACTGTGAATAGTCACTAAATAAGGTAACTGCTAAATGAGTTGCTGTTGCTCTAAAAATTGAGAGAAATCTTCAAGTTGTGGAGTGGTTAAAGAGTAGAAGAATTAAGAATTTTGTTTCTGCAGCAACTAAACAAAATATGATATTGGACAAGATGGATCCCTTGTCATCTGCTCTATTCCATTCTGATCTGAAATAATTTGCCTGCTGGAAATAAAGACAAGTGTCCCTCTTCCTGGAATATTGTTGCCTACTCTTAACTAGTACTGTGCTGCCTTGGAATATCACCTCCAACCCCACTCTAGCCTCTGCTTGCCTTTTCCAAAGTCTCTTCTGTAATTGTACAGTGCACATTCAGTTTTACTTGGCCTCAATGGGCAGAACAATTTGTAAGTTTGCCAAAGCCTCGTTGGCTGTGTGCCTGGTTTTGTGGATGATGCTATTTGTTGGATTGTTTTCATTTGTTTTCATTCTATCAAATAGCATTAAAGTGATTATTCATCTCTGTGCCAAATGTTATACAAGGATACACATTAATTGAACCAACATAATCTGCCAACAATCCACTTGCAACAACTTAAAGCTTCATCTTAGACAATGGATAGAAAGCCACAAGAGAAATAAATTAAACCAGACTTTCAGTGGGTCTGTGTTTAGACAAAGGCACAGGAAATGCAACCCTTTGCAATTGCCCTGTGAAGCCACCTAGAACACAGAACATAGAATAATTCAGTTGGAAGGGACCTTGGAGGTCTTCTACTGCAACCCCTTGCCCAGAAGATCCCATACTACTCCAGCATTTATTTGGGCTTGATGGGATCATAGAAAGAATAACAGAATAACAAAACAGAGTAACAGACTTGGAAGAGACCCTGGAGGACCTCCTGTCCAACTCCTCCCCCAAACAGGAGCCCTATACCAGTGGTGGCTAACCTTTTTGGGCTCTTGTGCTGAAAATTGCGTGCACGCGCTTGCGTGCCAGCACCCAGAAGACAATGTGCAGCCCCCCTTGCCCCCTGCCCATGCTCATGCGATTTTCCCCCCTGCCGCCCCCTTACCTGCACCATGCATGTGCGCGCTTCCCAGCTGACTTTTTGGCCCATTTAAGGCCTTTTTCGACCTCCCAGAGGCTTGAGGAAAGCCTCTGCAGCCTTTGGAGGCTGAAAAATGGGATAGTTTTGTCACTTCCAGTATTTCTGGAAAGTGACAAAATGGGCCCATTTTTCGGCCTCCAAAGGCTGCAGGGGCTTCCCTTGAGCCTCTAGGAGGCCAAAAAAGCCCTCAAATGGCCCGAAAATCAGCTGGGAGGCATATGTATGCGCAGTGAGGTAAGTTTGGCTGGGACTCATGTGCCCACACAAACGGCTCTGCGTGCCACCTGTGGCACGCGTGCCATAGGTTCGCCATCACGGTCCTATACCATTTCAGACAAATGGCTATCCAAACTCTTCCTGAAAACCTCCAGTGACAAAGCACCCACCATTTCTGGAGACAAGCCATTCCACTAGTTAATTGTTCTCATTGTCAAGAAATTTCTCCTTAGTTCTAGGCTGCTTGTCCCCTTGATTAATTTCCATCCAGCTTCTTGTCCTGCCTTCAGGTGCTTTGGAGAATAGGTTGACCCTTTCTTCTTTTTGGCAGACCCTCAAATAATGGAAAACTGCTATCATGTTACCCCTAGTCCTTCTTTTCACTAGACTAGACATACCAAATTTCTGTAACTATTCTTCATATGTTTAAGCCTCTATCTATATAATTATCTTGGTTGCTCTTCTCTGCACTCTTTCTCAACATCTTTTCTATATTGTGGCGACTAAAACTGGATGCAATATTCCAAGTGTGGTCTTATGAAGGCATTGTAAAATACTAACACTTCACATGATTTTGATTCTCTATTAATGCAGCCTAGGACTGCATTTGCTATTTTAGTGGCTGCAGCACACTGCTAGTATTTAAGTTGTCCACTAGGACTCCTAGATATCTCTCACAATTACTGCTATGGATCCAAAATCCACCTATTTTAAACCTGTGCATTTGGCTTTTCTTGCCTAAATGTAAAACGTTACTTTTATCTATATTGATTTTCATTTTGTTTAGATGGGGCCCAATGTTCAAATCTGTCAAAATCCTTCTGAATCTTGAGACTATCTTCTGGGGTGTTGGCTATTCTTGCCAGCTTCGTGTCGTCTCATCTTTGATGAGTTCCCCTTTTATCCCTTCAACCAAAACATTTATGAAGATATTGAAGGGTACTGGGCTAAAATGGAACCTTGGGGTACCCCACTGCTTATTTCCAATGGTGAGATCAGCCGATTCGCCGAACTGCAGAAACAGTTAAAAACTAGTTCAGGTGAACCGGTAAGAACCGGCTGAATCCCACCACTGGTTAGGACCTAGGAGGAAACCATAACTAATAGGAAAACTAAAGCAGAGGTCGCCAACCTTTTGGACCTCAGGGACCACCAAACACATTATTTTAAATCCTGCAGACCACTAATGTGAATTTTGACTGATGTGGCTTGCTTATGTTGGAGAGAGAGAGAGAGAGATATCTGATCTAACCTCCGAGGGCTAGTGATTCTCTCTCTCTCTCTCTCTCTCTCTCTCACACACACACACACACACACACGCACACACACACAAATCCCTCACATACCCTCCAAGGCAGCCACATTCCTACCGTGCTTTTGAGCTCCATTCTCAGGCTTCATGCAAGGAAAGCAGCAGAAGCAGCTTTCTCTCCCTCCAAACTCTGTCAGAAATGAGTCTTCTGTATACCACAGGGCACAGAGAGGTCTACGAGTGAGGAGAGGTCGCAAGGGTGCAATCCTATTCAGAGCCTCATTCACCTTCCTATTCCAAACAGTGACTAAGAGGTCAGCTGGACTGCATAATAGATTTGCAGTTATAACCTCCAGCTCCTTCTGGAACCCATCTGGGTCCATTAGTCAACAGGGGCAGAATTATGGTTTGGATGGCACAGCTACCTATGATATGATAAAAATAAAGTTAATGTTGATTTCAATAACCATTTTGTTAAACGTGCCATATTAAGAGATTGGAATAAATATAAAACAAAGCTCTCTATCAAGTTGCCCCTTTGTGTGTTACCACAGGAAGTCTTTTTTTCTAAAGGAAATGGTGGCAAAGTGAGATTGGCTGATGTATAGTAAAGTTTTATGTTTCAGTTCTGGTGACCCAATACTAAAGACAAAGGAAGAACTCGAATCAGAAGGTTACGTTTGCCATTTGTTTACTTATCAGAAATTGAAAGGGTCAAATTGGATAAAA